TAAGTTTTGTTTAGTTTTATTTCAACTATAAAATTTAAAATTCATTTTTTAACAAGAAAAATGAGCTAAAGGGTAAGAAATTGCTTGACAGAATCAATGCCCCCACATGCTGTCTCGTAAGGGTTATGCTAGGGTTGATAACATATTGATGGTGGAGAAACAGAAGAAGAGAGAAGAAAAAGCTAAGTCCGATCCTTCCATACTCCTTTCTCCACCATCCCCCGTCTCCTGAGAGGAGAAATAGAGATATGGACACAATACAAAAAGAGGCAAAAAAGGCTATATAAGCGAGACGGCGCATGAGATTGCTAAGAGGATTGTAAGTAATATTATTATTTCTTGTCCCTTTAAATTTCTATATAATTGTATATAATATTAATTAAAATTATTATTTTTATGTTACAGGATGCTCTTAAGGAGCAACAAGCCTAAGGAAGTTTCATTCCATAGGGCAGAAATGATATCTTGATGGTTATAATAGGAAAACTAGAGCATTTGGATCGTGTGAGGGGCATTAGACATGGTGTGGGCATAAGAGACTGCTTTAGAGCACCTTTACACCCCACCTCAGGAGGTGTGTAGTGACTAGAAAAGAGCTTTGAAACAGTGATATCCACTATGAGACAGCAAACTAAAGAAGAGTTTGAAGCTTCATTTGCAGCCCGATTTTTACAAATGAAGGAGCAAATGAAAGAGGAGATGATGAGCATGATGAGCTCACGATAGGAGATGCCTACTGAACTAATTCATATGTCTCTTGGATTTTATAGCACAAAAGAGAGTAATGTTCTTAAGCATGTATTAGAGAGTTTTTCTAGTGACAACATTAGTGAACCATGCGAGATATTTTTAGAAGATCCTGATAGACGTTTGGTTGCTCTTGGTAGCGTTTACAAGTTGGGGTCAACCATCCACCATAAGCAAATTCAAGATTATTAAGTAAGAGTGGTGGTTGAAGATCCAAAAGTTCTAAATGCATTAGTTTCATTCCTTACTAATGAGGTAAAGACTGTAGTAGAAGCTGTTGGCAATTTTATCCTGTGGCCCAAGAGACTTGTGAATATGGTTCAACCTGTGGTATGCAATTTTATTATGTGGTAGCTTTCTTAAAATGTTTTCTTACTAACTATTTCTTTCTTTTTTATTATGTATAATAGCTTTTCTTGCCGAATCTTCCAAAACTTCCAGAACCCTCGTTAACTCTATACCAACGAATGATCTTAATGGCATATGATCCATCATTCAAACTCAAAGATTTTAAAATGGATTCGGAGGTTGTAGGTAAGAAAGACATGATAGTGACAATTGAACGGGAAGATTTGCTTGGACTTTTGTCAAATAGTCAGCTTACCACACCACACATTGAATTATTTATGATGTAAGTTTGTGTTTCTTTAATAAAATTTACTTAATTATCAAGTCTAGTGATCTAACACAATTGCATTACTGTAGGTACCTTCATCATTTGTGCATCACATCGAGCAAAGGTGATAAGTTTGGATTCCTTTGCCTACATCACATGATAGAGAAAGGAAATATTTCAGAGTTAAGGGCCCAGTATCTCCAGCAAAGAATATGTGAAGTCAAGAAAGATGTTTTTATGGCTCCATACGTGCACTCGTAAGGATCAATTTATAATTAATAGTTTTTTCAATGTAGATTTACTTTAACTCATCATATTTTGTAGGAACCATTGGCAGTTGTTTATTCTTTCAATAAAGAGTAACACTATTGTCTTCTTATGTTCCCTCCATTACAAACTTTGGAAGAAAATGAAGAAGACAATAGACTTGTAAGTATATTTATGCAAAAATATTTAATATAATTTACACTAAATATTTTAGTTACTAACTCGGTGATCTTGAACATAGAGCAATGAAAACATATCAAAATGTGGTCTTGTAAAAGCACGGACATGAGCTTAAGGATTCTACATAGATCGAGCTAAAGGTAATGCTATATTTTATGAATATGTTTAATTATTAAGATTTTTCATGATTTTTCTTATATAGAGCCGTAGACAACTAGTGAAGACGAATTTGTGTGACCTATATGTGATGAGACATATGCTCAACATTATCACATTAGGCATGACTGAATTTACAAAAGAGGTAAATATATTTTTAAGAGTTTTATTTTATTATGTTATTTGAAAGTACATAATAAGTCTCTTTTACAAATTATATTTTAGATATTTGACAATTCAGATCCATTCTCCGAAGCTAAAATTGAAGACATTCACATACGTTGGGCAACTTATTTTAGGGAGAATTTGTGAGTTTTATAAAAAATTTTATGCAATTTAAGGAGTTTGTTAGTTGTAGACAACCTTTAAAAACATTTGTTAACATAATATTTTGGATAGCTCAATATATAGTTTATAGATAACTTTGAGTTTTAGATAGTTGTTAATTTAATTTTATATTGAAAATTGTAAATAAATTGTGCTGTTTGATTTGGCTATGGCAATTTTTATATATAGAGTAGGATAAATTTAAAAACATGAACATTTATTTTAAAAATAAAATACACTTTTTATAGCGGTTATTACCATAATTGGTGTAAAAAACACTATTCTATATCAATTAATGTGAAAATTGGTGTAAAATAGTGCACTTTCTACAGTGGTTGGAACACAACTAGTGTAAAACAACGATTGGAACACAACAGGTGTAAAATAGCACACTTTCTATAGCGGTTGGAAAATAACTGGTGTAGAAAGCCACTTTATACACCGGTTGTGTTCCAACCGATGTAGAAAGTGCTCCACTTTTTAATTTTTTAATTGTTGATTCATTTTTTACATCGGTTATGATTCGACTTTCTACACCGGTTGTGTTCCAACCGCTGTAGAAAGTGAACGTTTTATACCAGTTGTCTTCCAATCGCTATAGAAAGTGCTCCAATTTTTAATTTTCTAATCATTGATCCATTTTCTACATTGGTTATGATTAGCCGATGTAGAATATGTATTTTTTACAGCGGTTGTATAACCAATATAGAAAGTTGGACTTTCTACATTCTTTGTAATAACATCACCTATTTAACCACTGTAAAAAGTCATTTTTGTAATAGTGAATTGGTATGGTTAGTTAATTATATTTCAAAGTTTTATGGTAATTTAACAAAATTAATTACACTCTTTTAGATTAATTATATGTACTAAATGATATTAATATCTATTTAGTTAATGCTCTTGTGTAATGCATGAGGTAGTAAAGGCTAGTTATTTATAATATGTGACGAAACATATTTTTGTTTATAAAAAAACTTTTCTAAAACTTGAAAAATATGATAAAACTTATGAGGTAAAACTTTTTAAAAATTATGCTTTATTCATCAATTTACATCTATAGTTACAGAAAACTACAAAGATAAAAGAACTTTTCAATTAAAAAAAAAAAAAGAAGCAGCAGCAGCTTGATATGATACGTGATGGTCATCAAATTTTACGCATGATTTGAGATCTATTAGAAGAAGAACGTGTAAGGAGGAATTATGCTAACTTGTTAACATATGACCTTCCTGTCTTTCATTGGCCAAAAAGGAAAGTCGCATTCAACATCAAAATCAAAACATTTACCCTTTGTTTGGATAAGAAAAAAAAAAGAGAGGAAAACTAGAAAAAAATCCTAAAAAGTGAAACAAATTTTGTTTTTTGGTAGTTTTCTCTTTTTCCTATTTCATTTTCACTTGTCCGTCCATTTAAACCAAGCTTAAATTTTACAGTAAAACAAAGCAACAGCAAGAAGAGAAGCTAAACATCAAACACAATCAAACCAAATATACCATCGCCAATTGTGCACCTGTCAGCTTCAAGATGGGATTTCAAAAGGGCTTACCATCATATTACAAAAGACCAATGTTTTTAAAATAAAATTGAATATTAAACTAAAAATATTAATAGTTCACGATTCATATGATCCAATTGGGTTGGACCAATGGTTGATCCGGTGGCATAATAATTAAATTAAAAAATTATATATATATATATATATATAATAATATAAATATAAGAAATAAATATGAAATTACTACTTAACTTACAAATAAAACCAAATATTTTAAGTTTATCATGACTTAACAAGCCACATGATACAACATAAATCAAATAATTAAAAAAATTGATCATTTTCTAAAAAAATTAAACAAAAGAAAAAGGACATTTTTTTTAATAGTCCATTTTTTTAAAACTGGACCCAGTTATCAGTCCAAAGCAACTCAATCCGGCCCAACTCACCGAAGCTTGACTAAGTTGTTAGCTTAATTGGTCGACAGTTTGACCATCAAGTTTAGTCTGGTTTTTTAGTCATTACAAAAAACTCCCATACAAAGCTACAGTTCCTAAAGCCATTATTGTAGAGCACAATATTCTTCAGAACAGCACCGCAATGCCATTCATGAACCCCAGTGTTCATCAACAGCTAACAATCAGACTCAAAACAACCTAACCAAATCCCAAATCTAGAATCATCTGCATCCCCCTCTTGAGAGCCAAAGCTTCGCACATGACGGTAGAAGTTTCAAATTTCAGAAAAAAGAAACCTGTTCCACCTTCTAAGCAGTACTTAACAAGAACAGATATTACGTCTTACTTATTTGAACGTAGGCCGTGAGATACAAACAAAAAGATTGTAGCAAATGGCATCTCACATATAAAAGGATCATCATTCAATCAAAACACAAAACATATGAAGAATGCATCCATCTTCCATAATTATATCTCCATCTTACCAAGACAACTAGGTTAACAAAATAAAAAGAGATAAATGTCTCCAGTAATCTAGAAAAAGAAAACTGAACAACATGATATTTACAGAATAGGCTGGTCAAGTAAAGCTACCAACATCCAGTATTAAATATCTGCATTACCGATCTCAATAAAATCTCTAAACGGCATCGAGCCTCATAGGTACAAAATGATCGTCACAAGTACAGGTTGATCTTCTCCAGCAAATTATCTTAAAGTAAATCCCCAAGGTAATAATTAAACTCTAGGATCAAAGCTCTTCAATATGGTTGTTGCCAACTGGTACAAGGCTTTCTACATAATTGAAGATAACATAACCATTTCTCTTCCTTGGGATAGCAACCGTCTTGAATTCATTAGTAGTGAGATTGACCATGACAATATTTTGTTCATTATTCCTCCTTTCACGTTCAGTTTCCCAAGTGGGTACAAAATTGCAGACAATTTCGTTCCTCCAAATAGTCCAAGGAACTAAAATGCATGGGTAAGGGCTGACACTGTATTTCTTAGTCCAATTCCATCTTCCCCCGGACGCACCTGCGCCCTCCTCCATCACCCACAAATCAATCAAGGAAGATTCATAGTTTCCACTGAAAGTGTGAGAAAGCATAGCAAGATTATTCTCATGCACAGTAAGCCTATTGAAAAGTGATTTAGGGACTGAAGTAGGTAATGGTATCAAAGTAAACACTTCAATTGCTATGTCAAATGAAACTATCAATTGAACATAATTTTCATCCTCCTGCCCCAAATTTAGCATAAACCCAAACCAAAAGATAGCTCCATTTGCAGGGAAACTGTTAGAAATAAGATATACACAGTCTAAGTTCCCAAATTCTATTGCATTCCACGTTCTTGTGCTCAGTGAATATAATTGCACTTGATTAACCAGCTTAGCACATACGGGAGACTCTTCCATGCGAATAGACCGTTCATTATTTGAAGAAACACGCATTCTCACTATCTTGTAATCATTAACAAGTGGACAAAACCCAAATCCCATCTTGAAAGACTCGCGCAGAAATATTAACAGCTACGGACACCTGTCTAACCTCTCTAGTAGCTGGATTCCATACGAAGATGGAAGCCTCATTGCGTTGGAGGCAGACCAAGCCATGGCTAGAACCTATGGTATTAACACCCAACAAGGAACCGATTAGAGGTGCGCTTTGAGCTTCAAATACTTGCATTTTTTGATCGACAAAACCCAAGTACGCAGGAACAATTGGGTTAGCCCCTCCTAAAAGGAGAGAAGAGGTTTGACTACCAGTGTGATGGAGATGGTCAGCGATGAAAGATGCAGTCTTGAAGAGATTTTTCCAGTTTTTGCAAACACATCGAAATCGGATTAGGGATTTTACGGGAAGTCGTTTGAGAATGTTTGTGATGATATCTTGGGGAAGAATTGCTGTGTCGTCGTCCACTGCCACCTGCTTCATGGTGCTCAACGAGGAAGAACAGATCGCTGTCTATTTTACTGATAAACTACATATATTATTGATAAATCGGTTTTCTGGGCCAATATCTATAAATCTGTGCATATAAGAATCTATACATATGAGACCAAAAAGAATCAACCCGCTCCAGATACATTTTCATGTAGTAGTGAACAGCAGAACAGGTAATCTGTATGGTTTCATTGGTTGGTGTGATTCCATCTATTGTCCTTCCTCTTTTTTGTATTTTCTCACCCAATATTTTTGATAATTTTTTTGTCTTTTACCATCTCTTGTTTTTGTCGAATGATTTGTTTTTTCGGTACCACTACCTCGTCCCTTTTCAATTAAGATTTATTTAAGGAAAACGACATATAAGTCTCAAGAACTAGTAAATTTAAATTAGATATTAAATGTTAGAATTTATAAGTTCATCTTTTAATTTTATAATTTTATTATAATAAATTTATAATTTAACTTTTAAATTTTAATATGATTAAAAAATAAATAAATTTATTTTCTCTATTAAAATTTGAAACAAAAATTACAAATTCATCACAACAAAGTTATAAAATTAAGAGTCAAATTTGTAAATTCATAAAATTTGACACTTAAGACCTCATTTGAATTAATTAATCTCTTGTGATCTATCTATCATTCTCTCATTTATTTATGTAGTATAGTATTTATTCTTTTGTTACGGTTCACTTTTTCTGTTTTTTTATCAAGCTATTAAAAATTGTATTGATCGTTGAACCAAACAAGACATTGATTTAAAGATTGATGGTTAGACTGTAGTTGAACCGATTGAAACTAATTTAATATATTTTTAATTTTATATGCTAAATGGTATATTAGAGATGAAATTTTGTAAAATATCTCTGAACTTATTTAATATATTTAAATGCACTCATTCATTGAAGGGTTTTAAAATTAAATTAACTATAATGAAGTTTAAAAATATAGATAAATAATTTAAAGTATAAAGATTAATTATATGCATTCATGCTGAAAAAATAATTCAAGATTCAGGAAATAATTAAAATGACTCAACAAAGATTATGGGAAAAATTGGTGAAAATGACCTAATTAAAGAGAAATTGTGCCCAAGGATCAAATTAAATTCAAAGAACAAACTAAATATTTTATTTATTAAACAATATAAGCAAATGATCAAAATGTTTTTTTGTTTAAACAAATGAAATTGAATTAAAAAAAAACTGTATGTTCAACATGTACATCTCAAGTCAAAGAAACTTTGCACCTCAGCCAAAAACCTTGCACCCCAAATTTAAAGTCTTACACCCCAATCAAAAGCATTGCATCGAAGTCAGAAGCCATATATCCCAAGCCAGAGCTTTGAAGTGCAAGACTTCTTTGACTTGGGATGTTCGTGTTGAACATACAGCCTTTTTTTTATTTAACTTATTTGTTTAAATAGAGAAGTATTTTGATCATTTGTTAATCTTGTTTAATAAAAAAAATATTTAGTTTGGTTCATAAATTGAACTTGGTCCTTGAACATAATTTATCTTTCAATTTAGTCCTTTGCATCAATATTTTCAAGATTATGAGAAAAAGGGGCAACGAAGAAAACACGTGCTGTTATTAAAAACCATTGAGTCCCACATCGAAAGATAGCAAATTCTTCACTTGGATGATTGCCTATTAAAACGAGAGGAGGCCGGCAACTGTGGGTTGAAGTGGGGGTTGGTTGTCAAAAATAATAAATTACATCTCGTGACCGTGTGGAAATTGCAGACTTCGTCCCTTTCCTTAAAAAAAAGAAAAAAAAAAAAAAGTTGAATCTGGCTCATGAGCGTAAAGCCGGTCGCCTTTTTACTCGTTAAATCAGTTTTTAACGGGTTAGCCGGTTGGTCAACTGTTTGGTCTAGGAGTTGACTGGATTTGATAAAGGGCCAATTCTTGATTTAATTAGTTAAATCGATCATCCGGTTTGATTTTTAAAATTTTAGTTTTACCTGTGAATTTTCTTTTTTTTTTGGCCTTTTACTGCATGTGCCACGTGGCATCAAGTGATGAAAGATGTTCAAAATATTTCTTCAATCTTCTTATTCTCATGATGATTGAAATATTTTGCAAATATCTAAAATAAAACTGTAGGATAAAAAAAATTTTTGGCTGTCAAATGTCATCTATTACATAGTGCTTGAGGGAAGAAGCACTTTCTCATGATGCTTGAATAAATTGTGTCTAGAAAACATGAAATGATACAGGAGGAAAAATTAAAAAAAAAAAAGTGGGGAAGAGGAGAAGAAATTGAAAGCAAAACGCGGGGGGGAGGTGGGGTTTAAGGACTGAAAGGTAAGATTAAATTGAATAGATCGATGAAAAAACATCAACAAAGATTGTGTATTGTGAACCTCAAATCGCAAAAAAACTCTTTAGCAAACACTCATCCAATCCACCATTGGTCCAAAGAGCACCCAAACTCTAGTTGGTGGAAAACAACTATCATAAATCAATAAAAGTAAGTTGAAAATGCAAGAAATCATCGAAAGAAACTGAACATCCTGATATTATAGATAGGCAGAAAGGTACAAGAACTTGACATTGAAAATATTTCTTCAATCCTCTTACGATGACTGAAATGTTTTACAAATGTCTGAAATAAAATTGTAGGATAGAAAAAGATTTTTGACTGTCCAATGTCATCCATTACATAGTGCTTGAGGGAAGAAGCATTTTCTCATGGTGGTTGAATAAATTGTGTTGGAAAACATGAAATGATGACAGGAAGAAAAAAATTAAAAAGTGGGGAAGAGGAGAAGAAATTGAAAGCAAAAAGGAAAAAAAAAAAAAAAAAACTATAACCTAGGCATTGAAAGGTAAGATTAAATTGAATAGATCAGTGACAAAACATCAACAAATTGCGAACCTCAAATCACATAAAACTCTTTAGCAAACACTCATCCAATCCACCATTGGTCCAAAGAGCACCCAAACTCTAGTTGGTGGAAAACAACTATCATAAATCAATATAAGTAAAATGAAAATGCAAGAAATCATCGAAAGAAAACTGAACATCCTGATATTATAGATAGGCAGAAAGCTACAAGAACTTGACATTGAAAATATTTCTTCAATCCTCTTATGATGACTGAAATGTTTTACAAATATCTGAAATAAAACTGTAGGATAGGAAACAAAAAATTTGGCTGTCCAATGCCATCTATACATAGTGTTTGAGGGAAGAAACACTTTCTCATGGTGCTTGAATAAATTGCGTCTGGAAAACATGAAATGATGACAGGAGGAAAAAAAAAATTAAAAAGTGGGGAAGAGGAGAAGAAATTGAAAGCAAGAAGGAAAAAAATGAATCATAAGCACTGAAAGGCAACATTAAATTGAATAGATTGGTGAAAAAATATTAATGAAGACTTTGCATTGTGAACCTCACATCACAGAAAACTCTTTAACAAAAACACTCATCCAATCCACCAATGGTCCAACGAGCACCCAACCTCTAGTTGGTGGAAAACAACTACCATAAATCAACATAAGTAAAATGAAAATGCAAGAAAACTTAATTTAATACCCACCATCGAAAGAAAACTGAACATTCTAATGTTATAGATTGGCAGAAAGCTACAAGAACCTGGTATTGAACATAAGCGCTAAAATAAATTTGTAATGGGATAATTAAGATCTAGGATCAAAGCTCTTCAGTATAGTTGTTGTCAACTGGTACAAGGTTTTTCACATAATTGAAGAAAAGCATAATTATTACTCTTTCTTGGGATAAGAAACATCTTGAATTCATTAGTAGTGAGATTGACCAAAACAATATTATGTTCATCATTCCTCACTTCACGTCGTAGACAATTGCAGACAATTTCGTTTCTCCAAATAGTCCCTAAAACTAAAATGCATGGGTAAGGACTGATACTATATTTCTTAGTCTAATTCCATCATTCCCCAGATGCAGGTGCATCCTCCTCCATCACCCACAAATCAATCAAAGAGATTCATAGTTTCCATTAAAAGAGTGAGAAAGCATAGCAAGATTATTCTCTTGCACAATAAGCCTATTGAAATGTGATTTAGGAACTGATGAAAGTAATGATAGGAGGTTTTGAAAAACAAAATAAATGGTTAAGGGAGTTAATTTTAAATATTAAATGATGAGACAGGTCATATACAACTGACTCAAACTTTGAAAGAATTTTATATATCTTAGCTTAGTTATTTTTTCTTATCGTAAATTAAACATAACATAATATCTGTTTTTTTAAATTGAAACAAATACATCTCTTTTGATAAAATCTCCAAACTATCTAAAAAATTATTTACTTTTAATTTTAAACCAAAATGTCTAAAAAACTCTTATACATACGGGGTCAAAAACAAAAAATGCGTAATGCGATCGTCATGAAATCATTCAAATAATTAACGAGAATACCTATAAAATATTATTTATCAACATTTACTACAAATATTAAAAAAATTACATAACTCCGTATTTTTTTAATTTTATTTCCTTTGCTTTGGACTTTGAAATGCAGATTTTTTGCAAGTAAGACCTAATATAATTGTCAAAATGTTATTGGATTATATTCAAACGAGCATCAGCAATTGAATATCAAATCAAATCAAATTGAGTTTGATGTTTGATTCAATCTATTCGATTTTATAATTCAAGTAGACTTTTTTTAATAAAAAAATTTTGTTTATTTTTTTTGATAAAATGACAAATAGTTCAAGACAAAAATTTAAAAAATATTGTTTATCAATTCAATGCAGTTTAAAAATTACTTAATTGAATAAATTAAAGTTAAAGTATATTTCAGTCTTTTGATTTTACATAAGGTTTCATTTTAATTCCTTAATTTATAAAATATATTTTTAGTCATTTAACCTTTAACATTATTAGTTTTATCACACAAAAAAATTTACATTGAACTTTTAAATATTAATAATACATTTTCAAATGTTGATTTATTAAGTCTAAATTTTTTTAAAATAACATGATTAGAACAAAA